AAAAAAAAAAGACTAATTTTTCCCCTTATAGGAGATGAACTTCTCAGAGAGAAAGATATAAAGGAGTTTATATGAAAACCTCTCTTAATTTTTGACAATAAATTTATTATCTAGTTTTTGTTAATTATTTAGAAACATCCTGTAAGTACTTTAAGTATGATTAATAGTATGATTTGCGTGCGTGCGTGCGTGCGTGTAAAAAGTTTTATTGAGAGAGAGAGAGAGAGAGAGAGAGAAAGAGAGAGAGAGAGAGAGATGCAGAGATTATATAAATTATAAACGAAATTTATTTATATAATATAACGACCAACCTTTATAACACAATAAAACTTTGCATAAATTATTTTGAATTCTTAAAGTACTTATACAAAAATTGAGAATTTTGTTATTATTTTTTAAATTTTAGTACAATAAAAAATAATAACAAATAAAAAAGTATAATATAAATATATTATGTTGTTTAATATTAATAGAATGATACAAACACAAATTTTATATGTATATGATTTATTTAATATAATTATAAAGTATAAGTATTAACATATTTTCAAACATCATGTATTTCTTTCTCTCATACTTCGATTGTAATATATACCCTGTGAGCAATCTATCAGCAATCTAATAGCTTCTTTCTGAGTACTCTAGAGGGCACGTAGATTCAGTTCTAATTTCTTCATCAATATGAAGATTCTCTCTCTCTCTCTCTCTCTGTCTCTCTCTCTCCCCCCCTCTTGGTTAATTATTTATTTTTCAAAAAATATATTAAAAACTACCGCGTTTATATGACTTACAAACTCTTGCATTCTATATCGAATGAATTCAGCCATGTTTTACCGTTCGTTGCTTCAATTGTTTAGTATACATCTTCAATTTTTCTAAAGGTTTCTACTGTTTCTACTATCTCCAATTTTTTTTTAAAAGTTTCTTCTATCTGAGTTCTCGTCTTCCCTCGTGTCTCCGGTAACGCCATCATTACAAAAAAAGTGCCAATAATGGATATTATACAATAAAAGTAAAAGGTGGCATTTCTGTTTTGCGTTACCATCATTGGATATAATTGTATGATGATGCAGTTATATGAATTGGCGATAGTAGTGGTGAGTGACCCGAGAACATTTATGTACTTAGTAGGATATAATTCTCCAATCATGGACCAAGGCACCATAAGAAATCCGAAAGATCCGAATCCCTGCGATTTATTGATTAATTGTGAATTCTATTGTAGCTATAGTAGATATATTAATAAATTTTTTCAAGAACCTCTTTGAAAAAGTTATAATATCAAAAAATTAATAAAATTTAAAATTTAATCTCTATATTGGAGTTAAACTTATATGAAATCATTATCATTATAACTTTCTTAAAATGTTAAACAAAAAATTATAAATTTTTTGAAAATCTTATTTCCTTACCACATAGGAAAGGATGCAAACGAGAGGTACAACCGCAACGCCGGTGTTCTCAAAAAATTGTAGGTACATTGTTAAAGCGCTCAAAGAAATTGATACACCAATACCGGATATAATTGAAATAGTTCGACGACCAAGCCTAAAATTAAAAAAATATTTATTATAGAATTTTCACGAAATATTTATTGTGAAACATATCTATGTCTATTGTAATAAATGCAAGATTGAAAGTAACGCATTACTACTATTACTGTTTTCATTACTTTTTTCGGTAGCAATACTTTCTTTCTATATAT